ACTGTGCCACCAACGCCAATAAAATCCGAATCGACGAATGCTTCACAACGGGTGAAAATACCTCGTTGTAATCAATGCCCTCAAGCTGTGCATATCCCTTGGCAACTAATCTGGCTTTGAACCGAATGTCCCCAATAGAAGATCCCTCCTTCTTCGCATATACCCACTTGCAACCAATAGCTTTCTTACCCTTAGGTAGATGTGCAAGTGTCCAAGTATCGTTCTTCTGAAGAGATCGCATCTCCTCCTCCATAGCTTCCCTCCACCTGATCGAATCGGGGCTAGACTCTGGCTCCTTGAATGTGGATGGGACCATATCATCAACGACCTCTACTGATAATGCATATGCGACCATGACATCATTATACCTAGCTGGCCGACGAATCTCTCTCCTCGGTCTATCTGCTGCAATGGTCCTCTGAACATGACCCTGTTCCTGAGTCCCATGATCCACTGTATCTTCTATCTGCCCAACTATCACCTCATCTCCTCCCAGTGTCACCTCTGTAGGAGCCTCAATGGATACAGTGTTCTCTGGAGTGGGTGGAGTCACATCATCCTCCACCTGCTGCGATATCTCTCCTGTCTGGTCTCCCTCCACCTGCTGAGGGGCTCGAGGCCTCATCATGTACGCCTCGTCAAATGTGACATCTCTGCTAATAACTATCTTCTTGTCCTGTGGATCCCATAACTTGAAGCCTTTGACTCCATCCCTAAATCCCACAAAGACTGCTTTCCTCGCTCTCGGATTTAATTTGCCATCACTGACATGATAATAAGCTGGACACCCGAATATCCGAAGCGACTCATAGTCACTAGCCACCGAACCAAACCAACGCTCCAAAGGAGTCTTCCCGTCTATCGCAGTGCACGGCAACCTGTTCACAAGATGGCTCGCATAAACCAACGCCTCGGCCCAAAAAGATCTAGGCAATCCACTCTGCGTCATCATACACCGCACCTTCTCCAGCAAGGTACGGTTCAATCTCTCAGCCACCCCGTTCTGTTGCGGTGTCTCTCGAACTGTGAAGTGTCTTCTAATGCCGTGATCCCGGCAAAACTGCAGAAACGGATCACTCTTGTACTCTCCACCGTTATCTGAACGTAGAGTCTTCACCTTTCTACCTGTCTGCAGCTCCACTTTCTTTTTCCACTCCACAAAAATATCCAGGACCTGATGTTTATGCTTCATCGGGTATACCCAATTCCTCCTGGAATAATCATCAATGAAAGTGACAAAATAGTTGGCCCCACCAAGAGATGTGTTCTTGGAAGGACCCCAAACGTCCGTGTGAATATAATCCAATGTACCTTGGGTGTTATGAACAGCGGTGCCGAACTTCACTCTAGTCTTCTTCCCAAGTACACAATGCTCACACAATTCCACGTCTGTGTGAATATAATCCAATGTACCTAGGGTGTTATGAACAGTGGTGCCAAACTTCACTCTAGTATTCTTCCCAAGTACACAATGCTCACACAATTCCATCTTGCAGGTCTTAGCACCTTTCAATAGCCCCCGTTTTGCCAATGACTGTAGGGACTTATCATCTGTGTGTCTAAGTCTCATGTGCCATAAAGTGGTAGTGTCCTCCTCTGTAGTGATAGAAGCTGCCAGACCCCCTGTAACTGTCTTGCCCTTCAAGTAGTATAGGTTGGTTTCCCTAATACCTTGCATCACCACCATAGAACCCTTCGTGACCTTCACTGTAGCATCCTCTAAGATCACTCGATATCCTGCTGCCTCCAAAGTCCCAAGAGAAATGATGTTCTTCGTCAACTGCGGCACGAACCTCACTTCCTTCAATTCCCTCACTACACCATCATGCATCCTGATCCGGACTGAACCAATACCACCAATAGGGCATACGTGATCATTACCCATAAGCACGACATCCCCTCTTTCCAGCTCCTCAAAGCTAGAAAACCACTCCCTCTTAGGGCAGATGTGATATGTAGCTCCCGAATCCATCATCCACTCCGTGGAATCCGCATAGCAAACCGACGGTAAAGCAGGGCATGAATAGCCTGAAGAATCTGAATCTGAATGCTCACCAATAGCTTTTGCAACATTCACTTCTGAAGCTTGTGCAGCTTTCCCCTTATTCTTTCCGGCTTTTTCTTTCCACTTTGGGCAGTCAATCTTCCAATGTCCTTCTTCTTTACAATACCGACATTGATTTCTACCAACACTCTTATAGGCACTCCTATTCTTTGACTTTGAGCGGTTAAACTGACGACGGTTTGGATCTCGGCCTCGAACTGCTAACGCATCTCCCGATGCCTTCTCGGAGGGTTCACCATCACTCTTCCTCAACTCATAGTTCACCAAAGCTGATGTCACCTCCTTGTAGCTAACTGTAGTTCTTCCATTGATCATAGTGAGAACGAACGTACCATAATCATCTTCGGGCAACGAACACAGAAGTAGCATCGCCTTGTCTTCATCCTCAACTATAATATCAACATTGGCCATATCTGAAAGTAGCTTAGTGAAATTGTTGACATGCTCCCTGATGGAAACCCCTCTCTTCATCTTGAACTGGTAAAATCTCTTCTTCAAGTGAAGCCGATTCTCAATGCTCTTCGTAAGATATTTCTCATTGAGTGTTTCCCACATCTTCTTCGCCGACGTCTCGTTCATAACATCATAAATAAGATCCGGCGTCAAGCATGACCTAATAACACCACAAGCTCTACTGTTCATCTTTCTCCAAACCTTATCCTCCAACTCAGCGGGTTTCTCTTTTAACTCAAGAGTCTCCTCCAAATTCTGTGCATCCAAAGCATCCATCACCTGACACCTCCACAATCCAAAATTGATCTTGCCATCGAACTTCGGAACATCAATCTTCGTGTTATTGATGCTCAGACTCTGTATCGCCTTTGTTAGAGACGAACCTGACGTGCTTGCATCTCCCATGTTGTCGATCTAGCTCTGATACCAATTGTTGTGCGCGGCGGAAGCTTTCTAGGGCAACACGAACAATAACTCGAACTAAACCACAAACAATATGCAAACCACAATCACAGCAAGAACACACAATTTACGTGGTTCGGCAAGTTGCCTACGTCCACGGGGCAAGGAGGGGGGAGTTCTTTCTACTAGAAATCAAGAGAATACAAATAGGGTTACAAATCTCTCAGACCAAACCCTAAAACAAAGCTCTAGATCTCTCAAAGCTCTCTCACAATTGGATGCAATGATTCTCTCTCTTTGGCTGCTCAAATTCGTCCAACCTCTACCCTAAACAAACAGGTTTAGGTATATATAGAACTTACAAAACGAATCGGGTCGAAAACCTGAAAGCCCAGCCCAAAACAGCGTCGGTCGACCGGACCGGTCGACCGCGATCAATTCCGGTCGACCGGCCCGGTCGACCGACCAGCTCTCAGTAGAAAACCCAAACTCCAGAGAACCCCTCGGTCGACCGCACCGGTCGACCGACCACCTTCCTGACGCACAGTAAGCTTTGTGCACGAATGCGGTCGACCGGACCGGTCGACCGCCGCCTGATTGATGGCGTTCGAGCGTGGCTATGGACGATGGTGGGCTGTACTGGAGCCCGTTTTGCTCTTCCTTCGTACCGGCGTAAGCCATTGATCACTTTCCTCAGCTGCAAGTGGTTCCTTTCTGCATATGAGTCCATCAGCGCGAGGAGCCTCTCAGAGTTGCAGTCCGAGTATGCGGTCCGGGCTGCTATGATGGCTGGTCGCAGAGCTGAGCTTGCTCAGAAGCGGAGAAAAGGGCATGCCAAATCTCTTGTCTCAGACGAAGAAGAACTTCTCCCTGCGGGTGATGATGACGAGAACTCCGAGGACGAGTATGCGGACGTGGATACCGGCAGAGGGGACTTCGATACTGGTTTGTCCTATCTCTTTTAATTTTCATTTTCCATAAATGACAGCTCTTTTTCATTGAAATGGCTATTGTCATTTTAGGTAGGACAGCCGGTGATCATGAGCCCTCAGCTCCTACACACGTTGAAACGTGTGATAGGCCTGCGCATGTTCGACCCTATGGTCCTCGGAGGGTTGGTGCCCCGAAGAGGAAGAAGACTGCCCATAAGTCCCATGACGGTCAGCGTCCCTGTGGAGTGGACTTAGGGAGCACCGCCGATGGAGGGGGAGGTAACATTCAATTGCTCTTGCTTCAAGGTTGTTTACCTTTTGGGGATTTGTGACCATGTTTTGTGCTTCAGGTTTCTTCGAGGAGGGCGAACTCCCACCGGGTTCGGCGTCCCCTGGCGTTGACAACATGGATTGCTTTGTGCAACAAATGTGCGACGCTTTTCACGATGGGTCTTTGGGCATCGACCTTAACATCGATCTTGAGCAGATAAATAATGTTGAGCCCACAATCCCTTATTCAGGTATATCCGCATCCAATGTCATTTTCCTTATGTAAGGTGAAGGAAGATTTCTCGTTTGAGCTTTCCTCATCCTTCAACATTTGGGTTACCCTGCAGATGTTGCGATGGAGGGGCCAAGCTTCTCGAAGCCGGATGCCGGCTTATTAGCTGACATGCTGGCTGAGCAGACTTCCAGAGGGACCGAGAGACCATTCTTCGGGAACGATTCATCTACCGGTATATATCTGATTTTCTCCCTCTTGCCCGATATTTCATATGACTAATGAATGATTGATTATCGCAGCGTCTACCATTGGAGTTAGCCCGGTATCTATCCCTGGCATATCCAGTTTGCCTCAGAGCGACGGGCTTGCAGGTATGTATACGATTCAGGGATATTGTACTTTCCTATGTTTATCTGTCTTTTGACTAATGAGTGCAATCATAGGACCAGCCGCTAGGACTGATTCTCATATGACTCCTGGCATCCCTCAAATGCCCGCGGATAATGGATCTACAGGTATGCAGATCCCAATTCTTCTTATTCGTCTAAATTTTCATTTTGACTAATAAGAGAGTGTCATCATAGGACCAGCAGCTTGGGCCGATACTCTTATGACTCTTGGCATTCCGGCTGCATCTGAGGACATGGGGATTGCAGGTATTCATACGACCTTCTTATCCCGATTCTCCTTATTTGTCCAAATTTCCATTTGGTTAACATAGGAATGTCACTGTAGGACCAGGCGTTCAGCCTGATACTGCTACAGTCCCCGGGGTTGAAAGTCTTCATAGCAGTGGTGCCTCCCCGTCTTTGCCGAGTGGTGCGAGCAATGCGCCTGCAGGGGCTGATGTACCCTCTTCTGCTGCTGTCTCAGAGCCTGTCGGATCTCAACCCGAGGGGACGTCTGTTGGTGTCGGTATGTTCAGAACTTGCCTTTTGACTTTCCTTTTCATATTCGATAGTTCACTGAGCTTCCAAGTTGTTGCTTGTAGGATCTCGATCTTCTTTGCACGAGCGTGTCCGTAGCCTTTTGGCCGATACTGATCCTGACGGAGAGGCTTTCCGTACGGACCTCAGCTTCTTCACCGCCTGGTATAATGGCTTGATCGAGAAGCTTCTCCACCGAGGAGGCGGCTTCGATCAGTTCCGGCGTTCCTTCTCTCGCCACATGACGATGATGAGGGAAGAAGGATACCCGGAACTGGCTGATTCCTTCACTGCTGATTTCGCTGCCCTGGAGTCAGAGATACGAGAGTTGAAGGAACTGGAGGTTACCGGGGCTTCTTCTTTCGTATCCTCTGAGTTAGAGCATAGGATGGAGCAGTGGCGTGAACTGAGATCTTCCGTCGGGCGTGAGCTTCAGTCACGCGAGAGCTCCCTTGCGCATCTAATGGCTAACATGGCGAGGATGGATAGGGAGAAAGCTGAGTTACTCCGTTCCTTGGACTCGAATCGCGAGGAAGCGACTAGGTTGAAGGAGGCCTTGAAGCGTGCCGAGGAATCCGCCGTTCTTATCGCAGATGACTTGATCGGACTAGAGCGTTCTCGTGACCGGGTACTCGAGGAGTTCGGATCCACTCAGGAGGGATTGATGAAGTTGAAGAGTGAAGCTGCGGAGATCTTGAGCTGTTCTGAGGAATCTGCCCGAGCAGATCTGCAGGCGGGACTTGAGCAGAGTTATGCAGATAGACTTTTTAGCTTAAAGTCTCATATTCTTAGCCGTCAGTTGCCTTCGGGCTAATGAGCTCTTTGTTGTATGCTTTTTGACTTGACCTATTAATAGAAACTCCGCATTTGCTTCTTTCTTGTGATTTGTCTGTATTTCTTCTGAATGACAGATTTTATGGGATTTTTGGCAAACCCCCAGCCATCAACGGGTTTGATATGCCTTTACCGATCACCGTTTGAATCGGGCTAGCATGTGGATTGTCTAGATCCGTTCCACACGTAACGTTGTGCTAAGAAAATTGCTTTTCTTAGACTTGATGCTATGACTTTGAATACATAGACTTCGTCTTTCTTACGGGAATAGACTACCCGGCAACGCGTGTTAGGCGTTGACTTTGGGGTTTTTGGCAAACCCCCAGCCTTCAACGGGTTTGATACGCCTTTACCGATTACCGTTCGAATCGGGCTAGCATGCGGATTGTCGAAATCCGTTCCGCATGTAACGTTGTGCTAAAGGAATGAACTCCCTTAGACTTAATGCTACGACTTCGAATACGTAGACTTTGCCCTTGTCACGGGAATAGGCTACCCGGCAACACGTGTTAGGAGTTGACTTATCCCTACTTAGGATTCGGGATAAAATTCCCCATGCACCAAGTGCGCGGATTGGAAGTTGAAAGTTGTGTCAAAATAGGAGAGGAAGAATTTTATATTCTATCTCCCGCTGGAAAGGAAACTCGAGGTAGGAGGAAATCCCACCCCCAGAATCCGGAAGGATGAACTGGGAGCGGGATCTCCACTCCGAGCATCCGGGATGATGAACTGGGAGTGGGATCTCCACTCCGAGCATCGGAAAGATCCGAGGAGAGGAAGAATTTTATATTCTATCTCCCGGTGCTGAAGAGGAAGAATTTTATATTCTATCTACAGCTGGAAAGGAAACTCGAGGTGGGATCTCCACCCCCAGAATCCTGCAGGATGAAACTAAGAGTGGGATCTCCACTCCGAGAATCGTAACAATTCGGATAACCCTAACTGTCGGAAGGTTTGATTACCTGAATTTGGAAGTGGACCTCTCGTTCATTGGGGGAATCGAGAGGAGATTTTGACTGTGGCCCTAACTGTACGAATCTATCTCCCGGTGCTAAAGAGGAAGAATTTTATATTCTATCTTCAGCTGGAAAAGAAACTCGAGGTGGGATTCCCCACCCCCAGTATCTGGAAGGATGAACTGGGAGTGGGATCTCCACTCCGAGCATCGGAAAGGTCCGAGGAGAGGAAGAATTTTATATTCTATCTCCCGGTGCTAAAGAGGAAGAATTTTATATTCTATCTTCAGCTGGAAAAGAAACTCGAGGTGGGATTCCCCACCCCCAGTATCTGGAAGGATGAACTGGGAGTGGGATCTCCACTCCGAGCATCGGAAAGGTCCGAGGAGAGGAAGAATTTTATATTCTATCTCCCGGTGGAAAAGAAACGAGAGAGGAAGAATTTTATATTCTATCTCCCGTTGCCGAAGAGGAAGAATTTTATATTCTATCTTCAGGCGGAAAGGAAACTCGAGGTGGGATCTCCACCCCCAGAATCCTGCAGGATGAAACTAAGAGTGGGATCTCCACTCCGAGAATCGGAAAAGTTCGAACGACACTACCTTTTATAGGATTGGTCATTTGAACCCAAAGAACCCCTCATTTATTGAGGAGAAGACCCGATTTCAACCCTAACTTTTATAGGTTTGGTGGAAAAAAGGGGAAAAAGGTGGATTTTCGTTTATCGAAAAGGAGTGACTCGACTTTAGTCTTGACCGTGTGTAGGCTTGACTAAGCGAGATTGGAAACAATCCTAACTTTTATAGGTTTGACTGTTTCAAGTGGACCTCTCGTTCATGGAAGGAATCGAGAGGGGATTTTGGCTTTGGTCCTAACTGTAGGAAGGTTTGACCAAACTGGAGTTTGAGATACGCCAATGACTGGCAGATGGAAATGTTGGTGGGTCTACTGTCGTTTGATTTGATCAGTGGATGGTTTGGTGAGGAAAGATTAACCTATCAGAGGATTAGATCTCATCTCACAAAAGTAACTCATAAGAGTTGGAAAATTTTGATGAGAATAAGAAGAGACATTCTGACCTTAAGAGTTCGAACGCAGATTTCTTACTCGTTGATTCCACAATGACCGGGTTATCCCTAAGAATACCCGTGTGGTATTCTTCCGGGAACTTCCCGATGCA